AGTAAAATCTCTTGTTGCAAAAAGTAGCTAAGAATCTCTCGTTGCAAAAGAGCAAATGCCCAGGGGAATCGATCCCTACACCTCCGAAGACGTAGTGCATCCAGCGTGCCCTTGCTCCCAGTCCGCTGCTTCAACCTTTGTATTGCAATTCAGTGCTTTTTTGTATTTATACAATAAGTAGTTTATTTTATATAACAAATATATAAATATATATAGGTATTGTTTTGGAGGTCCACGGGGTCCCGGGAACCCGTGGGACCCTTAGTGGGTCCGCCACTGATTCCGGTCGAGTCGGGTCAGGTCGGTTTTTTTAACATAGGTTTTCTCCACAATTTGTTGATTTTCTTTTAATATCACTCCATGTTAAAGTGTTGTTAATAATTATTTATATTTTTTAAACATAAACATCAAGTGATAAAAAAAACATAAACATCAAAAATATTTTTCAGAAAAAATATAAACATCAAATATATAAAAAACATAAACATCAAAGTCAAATCTTTATTTTTTATTTCCTAATTTAGTAAAAATAATAAAAGTTCAAGGACACAAGAAGTAATATAAATCTAATTAAGAGTCCGTTTGGTGATCTATATTTTCGCAGCTTATGAACCTCATCGGTCACTTTTTCCACCAAACACATGGCTTTTGATTTTGTTCCCAGAATTGTGTAGTAATCAAAATAAGCAAAGTCAAAGCTACTTTTCTACATGAATTGACTGAAGTTATTGAAGATAATCATTTTAACTGTTTTTCATTTTCATTTATTTATTTATTTATTTATTTATTTATTTATTTATTTATTTATAAAAATATATTTTTAAGAGAAAAGGGTAAAATAAGGCCTTCTACTATTATGAAATCGTCATATAAGGTCATATACTTAATAAAGTGTCATATAAACACGTCTACTTATAAAAACAATCGGATGAGTTAGGCATGGCAATGGGTCGGGTCGGGGCGGGTATTGCAAGACCCGGACCTGTCCCGTGACTTGGCGGGGCGGGTCCGCCCCGCCTCTTGACCTGCACGGGTCCAAACTTGTTGACCCATGACCCGCCCCATGCAGGGCAGGGCGGTTCCGCCCCGCCCCGCCCCGCCGCAACCTAATTAGCTAATGTGTATTTTTATTTGTGGAAAGTTGTTACCAATTGAATCTACATAATGTTTATCTCTAAATAATAATTAAAAATCAATATATGAAATCAAATTCATGATACGCTAAAAATTTCAAAAATTAAGGAAAAATTACTCAAACTCGAATAGTTAATCTAATTAGTTATATTAATAATTGAATAAATGTATTAAAATTCTATATATACAAGACATTGATAATCCGTCGTGCATCTCATTCTAATATATATTCATATATTATAAGATCAAAGAATTTATGATTTATTGTATACACACACATGTATGTTGAAGTATATTTGTAGTATGAGTTAAGAAAAAGTATGTATACTTATATACTGAGCGGGTCGGGGCGGGTCGGGATGACGCGTGATAAGTCCGTATTTTGACACGTATTTGATGCGTGTTGAGATCGGCTTTTGATGATTTTCATAGTTTTAAAGATGTTACAAGTCTCAAATTTAGCTCAAGTTATGTTTACCGGGCGTTGGTTCGAGTTTTGTGTTGTTTGTAGTCAAAATCAGGGAATTTGAGCCCGGCACCGGCACTTGAGGAACAATCGGGATGATTTGAGAAGCATTTGAGAATGATTTGATAGCTTTGGAGATCACCGGAAGATTCACGATGAAGGTTTGAAGGAAAAAGAGCTCTAGGATTGGCTACGGGGTCAAAAGAAGATGAATGAAGCTTGAAAACGACGATCAGGATGACCTTCGGTCAATCGTTCAAGCATATCTCTTTGTAGAAACATTCAATGTACACGATTCAAGTTCCATATGAAATCTATCTTCAAGGGCTACAAATGATATAAAGACACCTTTGCGAGAATCTGAGAGGAATAAGGTGAAAACAGACGATGAAGTCAGATGATCTCTGCTGCGATTTCAGAAAGACACCTTCCATCGTTTGGATCATATCTCTTGATTGGATGATTCAAATCACATTCGGCAAATTGGGGTGGATAGAGGACTTCTTTATCTACAACTTTCATGAAGGAAGTTTTGCCAAATTCGGAAGTTAAGTAGGCATGATCGTGCCCTCAAAGTCAGACACGATCGTGCCTGAAGAGAAAAGCACCGCGAAGTTACTGCCTGCCAGGCACGATCGTGCCTGAAGGGAGGCACGATCGTGCCTGCCCAAAATGCGTGTTTTTGCTCCGGAGGCATGATAGAAGGCACGATCGCGTCTGGCTCCGAAAATCCTAATTCAGCTCAAATTTCACCCGATTTTTCTATTTAAACAGCCTGTAACCCCCCGTTTTCAAGGGGGGAGCTTAGATAGAGTGCCTAGCACGAATTTTAGAGGGTTTTTCAGCCTTGTTCATCAATCTTTTGGTATTCTTTGTAAGTTCCACCTTTTTAATTAATGACAATTAATTCTTTTTATTCCAATTCTATTGATTCTTCAATTATGAATTGTGAGTAATTTTAATTAGGGATTTGGGATTGATGAAGGGGTTGATCATAATGTATGGCTAGATTCTTGTCGGTTTAATTGCATGAATGCCGTTTAATTCGTGTTTGATTCGTGTTTGAGTAATGTAATTGATATCTTTTGTAACCTAGACTGCAGCTAGAATTACAATTGCACGTAGAATGAATTAAGAAATATCTAATTTGTTCTAGGACACATTCACACACACTTAATCGTTCGCTAAGAGATTAGTAGCGATTAAGGGGCCGTAAGCTCGCTCGTTTTGGCGATAATTTAGGATCCTGTCGCATGAGAGAATGAGAGATCAGCCTGGTCCCCTAAATTATTGTACTCTACGCCGCGAGAGCGGTAAGAACGTAGTAATGATTAGCTAGGCTCAATTAAATTAAATTCATGTAATTACGCCTGATCTGCCAAAAATCTGGTTACCCCGGAAACGATCCCTGTTCCCTTCGTCATTAATTAGAAAGAACCCCCTAGTTTAATTGTTCGCATTAGTTTTCTTTCCCCAAACCAACCAATCTCGCACGACGCTTTTATTTCATTTTCTTTTTAATCGTTGAATTTAATTAATTCTTGATTCTCTTTTGTCCGTTCCTGTGGAGACGATACTCGTACTTACATCACCATATTACAATCTATTTTAAGTGCGAGAAATCTCACATCAACGCGAGTCAATTCTAATACCCGGATCCGCCCCATTGTATAGGCGGGGCGGGGCGGACCCGCCCCATTTGCAAGACGGGGTGGGGCGGACCCGCCCCAAATGTCTCGAGCCAGGGCGGGTCATTGCGGGTCGGTTTTTTTTTTTACATCCCTTTGATGAGTCCTAATGACCCGTTGATAACCTCTTAATCCTGATTTTAGCTTAAGTGCCGTTTTTTTGACTTACATTTAAACCAATCTTAGGTAAATATTCGACGTGAGCCATATAATCTATTATAAAAAGATGGTTTCAAGAACACTAAATCTGGATTAGGAGGTTGTAAATAGGTCGTTAGGACTTATTTGATTGTTCTTTACAAGTAGACGCATTTATGTGACACTTTATTGAGTACATGGCCTAATGTGACGATTTCATATTAGTAGAAGGCCTTATTTGATCCTTTTCTCTATATTTAAATATAGGGAGATTTACCTTAATAGGATCAAAACATGGTTTTTTTCTCAAAATAGGAGTACCTAGTTTAAACATCCTTAAATAGGACTTTTGATTAGTGATTGGACCAAAATACCCCTCACAACCTTTACCACTGCTGCCCAGGACTGCCGGACCGCCGCCTGCCGCCGCCGCCTACCGCCGGCCGCCGCCTACCGCCGGCCTCCGCCGGCCGCCGCCTACCGCCGGCCGCCGGAAAAATTCCCGATTTTTTTTCTGGAGGTTTGCCAATATTCTGCCGCCACCTGCCGCCGGCCGCCGCCGCCGGAAACCGCCTCTTCCACTGCCGCCAACCTGCCGCCACCTCCGGACTGCCCCGCTACCAACGGACTGCCTTGGTTGTGCAAGAGAACTAGGGGGGGCAATTAATTGGGTTAATTAATTGCCGGAGTTGCCGCCGCCGCCGCCGGAATCCGCCGCCGGAGTGCTGCCGCCACCACGGACTGCCCCGCCACTGACGGACTGCCTTGGTTGTGCAAGGAAACTAGGGGGGCAATTATTTAGATTAATTAATTAATTAAATAGAATTAGGGGTAAAAAAGGTAAGGTTAGTCCTATTTAGAGAAAAACATGCATGTGGTCCTATTTTGAGAAAAAAGTTGAGTTTTAGTCTTATCTTGGACAATTTTCTCTTAAATATAACGTGTTTCGTATTTCGGATGATTCAACCAACTCAAACGCTAGAATTTATAATTCACTCCAACCAGAATTTATAAATATTAATAAGGTAGTAAAATTTAAGTATTACCAAAAATAATTTGTTAATCACCTCCTTCATAGTTTACTATTAAACTTTTATCATACGTTAAACTCAACTATGCTCAAAAAATGCAGTAAGATTATTTTTTTGACTGATAATCTAGTTATTTTCATACTCGTACTACGTACTCCATATAATCTAGTTGATTAGTTAATTTAGTTAATTCATGTGTTATTGAACGACTCATAATTTAGTCTATAGTATTTGTGTTACGGAGTATTATTTCTGTAATGTTTAGTTTATTTAACCGAAAAGTACATAAGAAAAACAATGTCAGAAGCTAGCGCGAAGATGGAACGTGCACTATTCCAAGCAGATCTGGATCCACTATTTCTCCACGCACTCGCCTCCCACCCACTCTCTGATTGTCTATCCCCTCTCTATACATATATAGTATAGAGCGAGAAAGTGATATATAGTGAGAGAAACTAAGCAGTGACTCAGAAAACGAAGAGTATTCAAAATTAAAGTGCGACCTATGAGGGGGTAGGGTGGGGTGGGCAGGTGTGGGGTGGGGGTTAATAGTAAATATAGCAATTGATGGGTTATGTGCTGCTTCTGCTGTCAAACTGTTTCTCTTGCAGGCTGCTGCTTCTGCTATCTCCACTGCATACAAAGGCGGAGGCGGTGGTTTGGCTTTTGTAGTAAGTTCCAGTCACTAACAAGAACCCACTCGTTGGAACTTCAATGAAAGTTGCAATTTTTCCAGCTGTTTAAAGAAAAAAATTTATGGGTCTGCATTTTCTGCTTCTACTTGCTGCTTAATTACTTCAAAAAAATATTCTTTTTTGGTGGTCAAACTTGAAAGATTGTTTACATGTCTTCAATGGGTAATCTGTACTTCTTCTCAGCTCTGCTTTCTCCTTTCTCTGTATTTCAATTTGGAAAGCAAAACAAAACACAGAGCAGACTCAGCAGAGAGTGAAGGATTCTAATTTCATCCTATCCCTAAGCTACTAGTTCGATCTAGCTTTTCTATGCATGGAGGGAATCTTCATAATCAAATCTTTTTAGTTTTATACTGTTATTATACTGTATATATTCTTGAACCACTACTACTTTTCTTACCCGCCTTTTTATTTATGTTTTTGCTCGATTCTTTTTGCAGGAGGAATAGAAAGAGCAAATCATCTTTAGCTTTTGTGCTAACTAGCTGGTAGCTGTGGCTAAGAAAGAAAGAAGGAAATAAAGCTATAAAGCAGAGGCCTTTTCTTTAAGTTGTTTTGCCTTTTTTTTTTTAAATAGTTAGAAAGAGAGAAAGGATTGAAGAGGAATCTTGTCACCAACCCACCAGGGGAAAAAAGTGAGAAAGAAAGAAGAAGAAAGATGGATGGCTATGAAGCAACAAAGGTGGTTTTTCAAAGGATTCAAAGTCTTGACCCAGAAAATGCATCTAAGATTATGGGGCTTCTCCTCATCCAAGACCATGGAGAGAAAGAGATGATTCGCTTAGCTTTTGGTTCAGAGTCTTTGCTTCAGTCAGTGATAGTGAAGACTAAGGTTGACCTTGGCCTTTCCCCTCCTAATAACTCTCCTTCCACCCCATCATCTCCTTCCCCTTTCAGAAACTCCATTTCTGCCCCATTTTCCAGACAGAACTCATCTGTTTCGGCTTCTTCCGGTAGGCTTCCTTCCCCGCTAAGCATAAACACCCAGTCTTCCACTTCATCTTCCTGGGCCACTTCGAGCCCCACCGCGAATGCTTTCTCCTCCGCCTCCTTATCTTCGTCTATGAACTCTTCCGCGCCACCCTTTTACGGCGGCGGAGAAGTGGATTTGATCGACGAGTTTCAGCTGCAGGACCAGCTTTCATTCCTTAACGACGGTTCGCCGACTTTGGGCCGGACAAAAAGCTCAGACATTTTCTACCCCCATCATGATTTGGGCCCAAATGGTCATGATTCTCCACACTTCTCTTCTTACGGCGGCTGGGGCGGCGGCGGGTCGGTCAACGGCGTACCTCACCGGAGAAGCTGCTCGGTGAATGATATCTGTTTGGGTTCGGACGAACTGAACGGCGGGTTTGGGTGGAAGCCTTGCCTGTACTACGCAAGAGGGTACTGCAAGAACGGAACCAGCTGCCGGTTTGTTCATGGTGAGGCGGGGTCGGACGTCGGCGGAGGAATGCTGGGATCCCCGAGTAAGTTCGAGATGATGGAGCAATGTCACGAGCTTCTCAGATCCAAGTCTTCGTCTCACCAGCAAAGAGTAGCTGTTGCTTCCCAACTTATGGCTTCTTCTAACTTCCCGTACTCGCCCGTTTCTGCCAGCAAATGTATGAACTTCCTTCTCCAGCAACAGCAAGCTGAGAGTCCAAGGTTTTTACCATATTTTCTCAGTCATTTTAAAAATCTTAGGCCTGGTTTGACAGTCATTATTGCTGAGACTGGTTTATTTTGCTGAATCAACATAATTTAAGGAATTAGTGTTACCAAACAGACCCTTGATCATTATTGTGTAAAGTTTGAATTTTTGTTTCTTGTTGTTGATTGAATTATTGTAGAGGAGCAGCAGCATTAATGATGGGGGATGATTTGAATAAGTTTAGCCGAGCACGGTTGGAAAGAGGCGATTTTGGAATGAATTTTGGAGCTAACAATTCCAGTTCAAGGCAAATTTATTTGACATTTCCAGCTGACAGTACATTCAAGGAAGAAGATGTGTCTAACTATTTTAGGTTTGTTCAATTGCTGCTTGGTTTTCTGGTTGTTGACCATTCATCAAAATTTATCAATCAATACCTAACAAGTCTTTATTGCTATATCTGAAAAGCAATTATGGACCAGTGCAAGATGTTAGGATACCATACCAGCAGAAGAGGATGTTTGGATTTGTGACCTTCATTTATCCAGAGACTGTTAAAGTCATTCTGGCCAAAGGTAACCCCCATTTTGTATGTGATGCTCGGGTTCTTGTGAAACCATACAAAGAGAAAGGAAAAGTACCAGAAAAATTCAGGTTATCTTCAAATTTTTAATTTTAACTATTGCTAACTTACATTTAATCCTTAAAAGAAGTTAATTGAATTTCTATTTATTGTGACAACCTACAGGAAGAACCAACAGTCCGAGATGGAGCGGGGAGAGTTTAGCCCCACGGGACTAGACTCCCGAGATCCTTTTGACCTCCAGCTTGGTATGTGATTAACTTTTCCAAATTTAGACTTTAACAACATATAAGAGAGATGAGATGAATTTCTTGTTGCATAGGTTTAATTACATGTATAATTTACGTGTATTTCCTCTATAATTTTGACTTTAATTACGTGTATAATTTACGTATATTTCGATCATTACCCATTATTATATATAATTATGTGTATAATTTACATTGGTGGTTTTCCTCGTATTAAAATAAATAATTACAAAGTCATTACATGATCACTATAGTCATTGAGAAAATTTTACTTGGATACTGCTATGTAAAATTCGATATTCGTGTAGTCATTACATGACCTTTAACCGTCATAATATTTAGAGCCCGTTTGGTAGCACCAAAATCGGCTGTTTTGGCTGATTCTGCTGAAATTTATGATATTCTGGCTGGAGTGGCTGTTTTGGCTGATTCTGCTGATTTAAGAAAAAATATATTTTATTAATAAATTAAAGAAAAAATTATATGTAAAAATAGTTTAAATAGTCCTCTACAGTAACTTCAGCCAATACAGCCAGAAAAGTAACTCCAACCTTACTTTTTCGGCTTATTACACAATTCAGCGCGCGAAAGTAAAAGTTACGTGTTTGGTGAAAAAGCTGGCTGATAAGCCTGATAAGCCGAAAACAGAGTTCTCCAAACGGGCTCTTAATCAATCAATCAAGTCAAGTATATAATTTAAATCAGGTGTTTTCCTCGTATTAAAATAAAAATCATGGACAACTATATCATTACATGATCAGAATAGTCATTGAGAAAATATTACTTGAACAGTACATTGCAAAATTGAACATTGGTGTAGTCATTACTCAAGACATTCATTATGGAAATACCCAAAGGTCACTGCTTGTTATAAGTCATGTTTTTGTTCATCATTTTATGTGTCAACTAATTGTCATTGTTTCCATAAATTTTCAAATATCATTTTGAACACATTACTCTCTTAATGACATCTTTATTTTGGAAGGAGCATGCTCTTGGTGCTGATGGGCTTATTTGTAAATGCAAGGAACTTACATGCTATTGCTTTTGACTACAGGGGCAAGGATGCTTTACAACTCTCAGGACATGTTATGGAGGAGAAAATGTGAGGAGCAAGCAGATTTGCAGCAAGCCATTGAGCTGCACAGTAGGAGGCTGATGAATCTACAGCTTCTTGATGTGAGGAGGAATCATCACCGTGCGTTTTCCACCGGAGCGGTTGTCTCATCTCCAGTTCACTCCCCAGGATTTACCACTGGTCAGAATGTCATTTTCCCACCTGGTCAAGACTGCATCAAAGGTATCCAGTAATTGTTTTTTTTTTGTTGGGGGGTGAAGCTTATAGTCTTTTTCTAAGTGCAAATATTGAATGTAGAAACTTAATGGATAAAAATGTTACTTTTAGCATGTAGTGAACATAGTTATGTTTTTGCGGTGACTATTAACTACGTTGAGATTCAATTTTGCACTCTAATGGCCTATTAGCCACATATTTGGTCATGAGTTCTATTTTAGTATTATTAAAGGAAAATCCTTTAATAATATTCCCAAAATAAGACTCATGAACAAAAATGTGAACAGATGCATGAGCCATTTAAAAAATAACACCATGATCATTCACTGTAAAACCGAATAGTCATTGGGGTGATTGTGAAATACCATGCACTATGTTCACTAATCACTCTATTAAAAGTCACCCATTTCTATTTGCCATGACTTTAATCTTAAATACTATCCTCCGTTTCTTTTTTATCGCAACATGTTGAATTTTACACTATTCCCATGTTCTACTTTGACTACATTTTATATTATTATTTTATGAAAATTATTTTTAAAAAAAGTATTGTTCAATTCATATCATTACAAATTTTCAAAATCTAATTTTTTAATATTTTTTACTAATAGAGATTAAGATATAATTACGGTCAAAGACGTGCGTTGGCAAGTGTGAAATATTGACCGTTGCAACTAAAAAAGAACAGAGGAAGTATATATTTTGACACGTTACTATTGTGTAATTATGGTTCTAGAGAATGGGTATGCTTCTAAAATGGTAAATCAAGTCACTGAAAAGGAGGTGCAGCAAAGTGAAAATGTCACCGAAGTGGAGAAAGAAATGACCAATGTTAGCAATGAAAAGAGTACTGACAAAGACAACAAGAGTGAAAAACATTCACCTGAAAGGTAAATTTTAGCAAATCTTTACTCGATCTGATTTTTTCTTCATCATTATTGAAACTTAGTTGTAAATAAAAGTGCTTTAATGGATTGTAGCGCGGAACATTCGCTCCCGGATAATCCGTTTTCATCTCCAAAAGCTAGCAGGGAAACAATGCCTGGTTTCTTAAATGACTTTGGAGAAGCTGAGAAACCACCATCTTCTGGTAACAGTAATAATATGATCTCCTCACCCTTGTTTCCAGCCTCTGCTGCTTCACTGGACCTCTCACCATTGAAATCATGTTACCTTGAAGTTGCCAGGTGTGTATTGAAGTACTAGTGCTAATTTGGCTAGTCCATGCTGTGCCCTGTTGGTGTTGTAAATTTCACTGGATAAGCCCAGTCATAATAATGATTGTAGTTAATATTTACAACCAAAATTACAATAAAAATATTAATAATGATGATCAATTTTTTATATAGATAAAATGCTTTCAACATTTCAGGCATTATTATCTTTCCCGTACATCTTAGACAGATAAATAAGCTAGTGTGCTTAGGTAAACAGATAAAACTATAAATATCAGTACTATTATAATCAAAATAATCAATTTCTTTTGTACATATAACAAAACAAACTTTTATCAGGTAAAACAAGAATGAAATTGATGAACAAGTCAGGAGGAAGAATTTTCAGATTCCCGAAAACCTTTTTAGATAATTATTATACATTTTAATTGATATTCCCCACCACACTTTTTAATATTCTTTAAACAGCTAATGATATTAAATACACTTATAATCCATATTCTTATATGCCAAAACATATTCTTATTTTATTTTAGAAGTTAATGATAAACCCATACATAGATATGTGATCTATTGTACACTCTTCTATGTTGTACTCATATTGTAGTAATTTTTTCCAAAGAAAATATAGCTGGCAAGCCAAAAATAAAATTTTCCAAACAGGGTTTTAAATTTGTTCATCTTTATGAGTGCCTAAAGTCATTTCCTCAATATAATTGGGCAGGTTCTCTTCAGGACCAGGTGCCATTGGAATGTAAAACCAGCCTGTGACACAATTAGGCTTCCTTAGTTTAGGTAAGGCATTCATGGAAAGAGTGAAGTGCACACATGATTGGGGCATATTTTCCTGTTTCTCAACATAAACCAACATTTGATTTAGATTATTGCTTTGCTTTTTATGTTTGAACAGGAAGTAAGAAGAGAGGAGTTTGTACAAGTGTAACCACAACCACCACCACCATCTTGTGACTAAGTAACAGCACCAGTCAACACACATATTACTATCAATACAAAATTGCATACATAAAAGAAGTTAAAAGAAGTGGGACCCAGCCATTTTCTCCTGTTTTCTTGTCTTGTATTCTCTTGTCACTTTCACCATCTCTATGTAGCTGACTGAGGCCTTTGGCTGGACCACATGTAGTAGTAAAGGGAAAATATATATATTATAAATAGTAATAGGTGAAAACTATTAAGTAAAAAGAATTCAGGGAGGGGCAAGAAAAAAAAAAACTCTTGTTTGTTGTCCTTGGAGTATAATTATCTCCCCCTTGTCTCAACCAATGTATAATCAAGAAGATTCAAATGTAACAAGTTTTAGTTTATGTACTTGTTAGAGAGGGGGGTACATGTACAGTGAGGAGAAGATAGTGAAGATGAAAGGCAGATTTTGTGTGCCTAAGAGGGGGATAATGTAATTCTATTTGCCTGTTTAAAGGACAAGTTAAAGGTAATTAATATATTACTAATGTTAATGTGTGTCTGGCTCACTACAATTTTGGTTTTCTACTAATTCTACATTGATAATGATAATGTTAATGTGTGTAGTTCTAAGTTTTTTAATCCTTTGGTTTTCAGTGTTCTCACTACAATTTTGGTGCTTTTTCTTGTATATACTCCCTCCGTCCCGCAATTAACTTCCTACTTTCCTTTTTGGGCCGTCCCAAAATAATCTTCTCATTTCCCTAAATGGAAAGTTATCCTACATCAAAACAGTGCAAAACAGTGCAAAACAGTGCCATATAGTGTCAAACAGTGTCTACATAGTGCCAAACAGTGTCTAAACAGTAAAGTCAAATTTATTTCCTAAATATGTGTGTAGGTCAAAGTAGGAACTTAATAGAGGGACGGAGGGATTAAATTCCAACTCCGTCCCATTGTATGCGTCTCTTTTGCTTTTGACACAATATTTAATAAAGTGGTTGAAAAGGTAAAAGTTGTGATTGAGATTTGAGTATGGTAAAGTGAATTGTTTTGAACCACATATTTCTTTCTAAAAAGGGAAAGATAACATTTATTTTGGGACAATCCAAAAAAGAAAATAAGACGAGTAAAATGAGGTGTTTTGAATTTCCAACTAAAGATTAATTTGATAATGGGGTGTTTTGATCTCTCACCGGGTTTTACACGAGGAGATATATGGTTTTTTTTTCTTTTTTTCTGAGAAGATATATGGAGCGTGCTGGAGTGTGTATTAACATTTGAAGAATGTTGAACATTTGAAGAATATGGATCGTTATCACGTCAGCGTTTAGTATGTTAGTTAAGTAGAGAAATTTGGAGGAGTGATCAAAGATCGAAACCCTCAGTGGTCGTGTGGAAGTCACAGCGCGCTACTACGTGCTGGGTTGGATATGTGGTGCACACAGATACAAGTTCTACTATTATTGAGCTAACTAAGTCACTGTGATTTAAACTTCTCAAAAGTCTTGTTGAGTCGGGGCGTGAGAGGTCCTTGGGGTCGGGATTCAACTTTTTTGGAAGAATGTTATGGTGTTTCATACGGAGTATATTTATTCATTTTTTCCCACCAAGCAAACTATACCGTATACATGCTCATCACAGATTAACTGCTGTACTTTTTAAAATTCCATACGCTGTACTTCATAGCTCTAAGTTTTGGAAATGATTTTGAGCAGGTGAGTTGGGTAATTTTTTTATTTGATTTGGTTCAGTGAGTTGTCAATTTTGAAAAGTTAATTATGTACGTATCATTAATTTCCTACAAACAATAATAATTGCGTCAAAGGCGAACGTGGAATACGTGCATAACGATATGGTCAGGTAAATTGTTATTGGGAATATACTTCGTATATGTTACTAGTATGAAAAAAGATTGGGGTACACACTTTTTGTACACAAAAAGTGTACACTCGTCTGTCTCCCACAGACAAATTGTCTGTCGCGAGATGAGTTGTCTGTGGGAAAGACAACTCATCTCGCGACAGACAATTTGTCTGTGGGAGACAGACGAGTGTACACTTTTTGTGTACAAAAAGTGTGTACCCCTAGCAGGCGTGTGATAATTTTTTCTTTTCTGATTATCCGTGAAGCTTTCTGGCCATACTAAACTTTTTCTTTCTGTAAGGTAAATTATTTCACTGTGCTGACGGAAATAAATAAGTACATGCTTTCAAGTTTCAACAACAAAAAAGTACCACGAAATTATTCGTTCTTTAAAATTATAGAAACTTCAAACTCCATTTTCTTATTATAAGAGCTTGTTTGGTTAGTTTGAATTAGCCTTGGAATTGACATACGGGTATATTCAACTAATAACATACTGAAATTGAAAACAAACTCATTTGGCAGGTTAGAGCTCAGTACCCAATTTGGTAAGGTTGAATTTAGCTGAATCATTTGAATGAAATTCGAATAAAAATCGTTAAATCTATTCAATTGTGAAAAACATTAACTATATTACATTTAATAAAAGAGACAATTCCCTAAATAAGAGTAAATAGGTTTCAAAATTCCAAAATAGGAGTGTCATGTTTTTATTCCCCAAATAGGAGTAAATTTCTGCCAAGTTGGAAATATTAGACTTTAAAACATGGCATTTTCTTCCAAACTTGGCAGATTACTCCTATTTAGGGAATAAAAAACATGATACTCCTATTTTGGAATTTCAAAACGTTTTTGCTCCTATTTAGGGCAATTTCTAAAATACAGAGAAAGCATATGCATGAAAATAGTTAAAATAATCTTGTTTAAGAATTTTAGCTAATTTGTTGTATCAAAATTAAAATATACATATTTGACTGAAAGATTGATGGATCCGGTTTATAAGTTGAGATTATGAGTTGCAAACAAGGATACAAATAACATACTAGTACGTACTCCGTAGTATTTTTTTCAATATTATAATGGCAACCACACAGCCAATCAATTATTTAGCCCAAACTATTAAATACTTTTAATTCAACTATTATGAGAGGATTCAACAATTTCAATAACCACCAAACTGGTTTTATTTCATTTAATTGGTTCAAGAATATATTGTTGAGTACTTGTACACATCTATTCAGTTTATTTAAGTTTTGTTTTGTCAAATTCCCTATTTTAATCATTTTGGATCTATTCTAGATTTGTTTACTAAAAGGGGTTAGAGTTCGAAGTTAAGAGTTCTCCCTGTCCTGATTCCTTCAAATCTAAGTGGGCAAGTTAGATTACAGGAATTTACAGTATGTTACCTCTTATATCTTTCCTATATTGTTCTATTAAGGATTTTTTTGGACTGTTTTCAGTCCTAGACCAGACAGACAAGACCAGATCAAACCAGACCATAATAGTTCAGACCAGACCAGACGAGACCATCAAATTTCAGTCCAAAAGAAAACATCCTAAATGATGGTCAAAACCTAGACCTCTCTTTCATGTTTACACAATATTTGTACAAAAAAATTGTATATTTAACTTATTTCAAAATTTCTTCCCACTTTATATTGTGATACGTTTATTAATATAATTAAAATCTATAATTGGACTTGATGTGAAAAGTGAGAAAGAATAATCACACAAATCAAGCCTTAATTTTTTTAATTTGTCAATTTGTTGTGTGTTCAATCTCTGTCAAACTAATTTTGGTTTAGACATTTCTAGACTATGATCAATTTTTGTATGTTTAACTTTTCTTTATTCAAATTTAGTGTGGTTTGGAGTAAGGTTGTCTGTAACTAATACGAAGTATAAGTCAGGAGGTTTTTATTTGGACTGAAATTTCCTAGTCAAGTCTGATCCGAATTGGTCTAGTATGGTAATGTTTGGTTGCTGTGTATTTTATAATTATCCAAATCAAGTCTGATTTGATCTAATGATCTAGTCTAGGACCGGAAACAATACAAATAAAAACATCATTACAGTTAAATGATTCATAAATCTATGGAGTCCTCACAAGAAAATTTCATATAACTTTCACTTAAACTAATTTCAATCTAATTTCAACTATGTCAGCATTAAACAGATAAAGTTATATTTTTATTAAATTAGATTAGACTAGACTGGGTGTATCAAATAGGCTATATCAAAAAAATCTAATAGATGAGATTTTTGAGAGAGAATTATAATTGAAAACATATTAAGAAATCTAAAATTTGATTACATTATAATTGGAGGAGAAAGTAAGAAAAAAAACCAATTATAGAAAAGAAAAGAGAAAACAAAACTTAATCTGGGAGAGTGTGGGGGGCTTGTTTTCTTGTATCATTGGTGGTGGGGCCTTGTCCTTTTCGACCTTTCACAGGCATACAATCACATGGGCAGCTGACAAGTGGGACCCACTATTATTTATTCAGTATCATGGCCTGTGGGTCCCAGACACCCAACACCCCCCGTTGATTTATATCCACTTGCACCATCTCAGCTCCCTGTGTTATCTCTCTATTTCTATGGGTTGTACACTGTACTTACAAGATTGTACTTCTTCCTTCGTATCTTAAAACTTTGTCATCTTTACTTTTTGGGACGTTTTAAAAAACTTTGCGACTTTCCCTTTTGATCAATTATTATGTGATTTCTGTTATTTCTCCCTCTTCTGTACAAACCTCAACCACACAATTTTAATTTATTATTTTTCGTGTCGGTCAACTTTGGCAAAGTTGTACTGGACGTGGTAATACTTTTTTTCAATTCCCATTGAGATTTCACACATTTAACAGAAGTCAGATACAGTGACAGTTTTTTAGCCGTATCTCCAACAATTTTTTCCATCTTAAACTTGAGGGCCACTCTAATGTCCATTGTACTAAGGAACCTGACCAACGATTATTACGTGGGGATAAGCAGATGTGATCCAGTTTAAGCACTCCCACTTATCGTATGATCTGCAATTTAATTACTCGGGTATTTGTTAATCAATGCAACTACGGAGTATATTATTTACTCCCTCCGTCCCTGATTTATCTTCAAAATTTTCTTTTTTGTCCATCCTAAAATTATCTCCTCTTTCTATTTTTGGCAAAGAATTTGTGGTTCACAACTATTCTTACACATTTTTACACATTTCTCTCTCCTCTATACAAGTCTCCACCACACAAAACTCACTTTCTTAAATAATGTGCCTAGCCGAAATGGGAGAAAGATTAGGACGGAGGGATTATAAATTGTTTGTTCAATTTTAGTTTTGTGTTGCAATACAATTTCAAAGTTTTTTAAATGTATATATTTCAAGCTCATTTGTTCGTCCATATTTTTGCTTATCAACTTTATCAATCAATTTGTTGCCGAACGTTGAACATTTGATATTGTACACTTAATTATTTAAATATCAATAAAATTATGTCTCCAATTAATTTTTGGCAAAATTTGCATTGCTAGAAAAGAAAATATAATTTTTTCATTATTTTTTATTAACTTTATATGTTTTACAATATATATTTTGATTTTTTCCTATGTGTTAGTAGATTCACTCGATTGAGCTGTTTCAGGTTTTCAAATTACATAAGCAATTTTAGCAAATTCAACCCATTCTGCAAAGGTGAAAACTAAAAAAATTGAACTTTTTAGTAGTGAAGTTTGTTCATGTAGATTGTACGGAGTAG